TGAAATCTTTATGTATGAAACTACCTCTGGCGCCTTTGTGTGTTCGGGGAATGGGACATGGCCTGGGGGGGGGGGGGTAGCTAAGATGACTACTTACACTAGCACCTGGAATATGGCACATGCTAAGTAAATGTCAGCTATGACTCTGGCATTTAAATCAAGGGAGAAGGGGGAGGTAGCTTCCATGCCCGCAGAGTAGTCTGCGGTATGGTGGCCTTTGCTTGCTCTGAAGATGCGTTCAAATCTGCAGAGAGCTCCAGGTGCTAGGCTTCCTGCAGCAGGTCTATCCTGGGTCAAAAAAAATCAAGAGCCAGCAGAGCAGTGGTTCTCAACCTTCTTTATGGCACAAACGTTAATAAATTTCCTCATGCGGTAACCTCAACCATAAAATTATTTCATTGCTACTTCATAACTGTAACTTTGCTTCTGTTATGAATCATAATGTAAATGTCTGTGTTTTCCGATGGTTCTCTCAAGGTACCCAAGTTTGGTTTCCAGCATCCAAGCCAGGTGGTCTGCTATGGCCTGTAACTCCAGCTCCAGGAAATGCAAAACCTCCGTGGTCTCTGTCTCCCTCTCTGCACCCCTCTCTCATAAACACGTTCACACACACGCTTAGTTAAAAATAATAAAAATAAATCCGTAAAGGCTTTTTATATTCAACCACATGCAGAGTGGCCCACAAAAGCCTCGTCCTGGTGCTAGCCCTTCATCTGAGTTCCCACCCCACAAAAGGAGAACACAGCATTAAATAGGGCTAATCCAGTAAGATGGCCTCGGAGATGACAGGTTTTAAGATGATACCTTTGAGGGCATAATGCAAGTGCATTTCTAGAACCTTCTATTCTAGAACCTATCTATACCCAGTTCCCTGGAGTCTTCACTCTCCAATTAGTCCAGAGCTGTGGTAGCCTCCCCCTGAGCCTCCTCAACCTACACTTTTAGCCTTAAGCCTATTAAGTCTTCAGAAACTTGGCTGTTTTCTCCAAAGGGCAGCAGGCCCCACTTGGCCTTCTGCTTCCCCAGTCCCTTACCCTCTGAAACAAGTTAGGGGTCAGCTGTGTCCCTATCCCTGGCTGACGGACAGTAAGCTGGCCCATCAAGCCCCCTTCTGTTGCACGCTGCCCTCCATGAGGAGCAACAGCCGGTGCAAGCTGGATCAGAGGATATTCGTGGAACAGGTTTGGATGCATGGACAATGGCTACCTGCTGTCTTCCAAGAAGATTGGCTCTGGTGCTTTCTCCAAGGTCTACCTGGCCTATGCAACACGTGAATGCATGAAGCACAATCCTAGGCTTGAGGGGCAAGCATCACACTATGGTGAGAGGCAGGCCTGTCACCTTCTCTGTGGGCTCCTTGGGGTATCCTAGCCTGGTTCCAGCAGGCCTGTCCTAAACCCTCTCAGGTACCTTCCACCTGCCCTAGCTTCCTCTACAGGACCTCCCTATGTCTTCTCAATTTCTCAGTGCTCTGTTCCCTAACCCCTCAAACATATATGTGCCTGGGACAAAATGTGAAGCTAGCGCTGCCTTCCAAGGATATTGCTTATGCATCCACTTGCCATGTGTACAAAGAACAGCGGGCCAGCTGGGTACGGTAGTGCATGCCTGTAATCCGGCACTTGGCGAAGCAGAGGCAGGAAGATCCCTGTGAGTTCGAGACCAGCCTGGTCCACAAAGCGAGTCCAGAACAGCCAGGACTACACAGACAAACCCTGTCTCAAAAAAACAAAACAAAACAAAAACAAAAACCGAAACCAAACACAAAACAGTGGGCCTATTCTTAAGACCCTTTACACAATTGGCTACTCTCCACCTTCCTCAGGTGGCTATTGAGATCGTGTCAATGGCTGAAGCCCCAGTGGAGTACTCCAGAAGGTACCTGCCACCTGAGATGTCATCACTCAATGCCACCTACAAGCACCTAAACGTAGTAAGACAGTCCTCGCCTGCTGTCCATGCCTGCTGTCCACCCCAGGCCCCACCACTTCCCTACCTGGAGTCCCCTCCTTGCCCTTGCACAAAGAGCCCACTCTCACCCTGCCACCGAGAGCTAGTACATGTGGCAGCGCCAGCACTCTTGGTCCAGCCTTCCTCGGCTCGCAGTGGATATGGGGCGTTGGGGTTGTTTGGTAGGTGCAGTTGTATGAGACCTACCAGAACAGCCAGTGCTCCTACCTGGTACTGGAGTTGGCAGCCCAAGGCGACCTGTTGGAGCATATCAATGCAGTGTCAGACCTCCGATGTTGCCTGGGGCTGAAGGAGGAACAGGCCCGAAGGCTGTTCTGGCAACTGGTCAGCGCTGTGGCCCACTGCCACAAGCCTGGCATTGTGCACCAGTGAGGGTGCCATCTGGCCCACCTGCCTTCCTGGGTATCTGCTGACCCACTAGAGCCCAGCTCCACCTTCGCTCCTCCCACAGGGACTTGAAATGTGAAAATATCCTGTTGGATGACCAGGGCTTTCTAAAGCTGACAGGTGAGCCTGCATGGCTCCCTCACTCCTGTTTACTTCTGGACTCCTACCTTCAACTTCTGCCTGTCCCACAGACTCCTGTCCTCAACTATGACCTAGCCCTGACCTTCAGCTCTCCCACAAAGCCAGAATTCAATCCCCACCTCCTCCTCTCCTACCATCTATAGTCTAAACCCACTGACCTACATCTAATGTGCCCCTGCCTCGTTTTTCCCTCTCCCAATCACTCTTGTAACATCCGCTCTGAGCTCCCTCCTTCCCCGACCCCACTATCCTAACAGATGTCCACTTGAACCCACTCGCCCCATCCTGTCTATCACCTGTGTTGCCTTGTCCTGCCTGCAAACTGTGTGCAGATTTTGGCTTTGCCAACTGCACGGGACTCAAGAACTCACTGATGAGCAACTTCTGCGGCTCTGTGGGCCCTATACGGCCCCAGAGATCCTCATGAGCAAGAAGTACAACGGTGAGCAGGCTGGTCTGTGGAGCCTATGAGTAATCCCAGGTACCTTGTGCAAGGACCATGGGTGGGTAGGCTTAGAAGGGACAACACTTTGAGGAAGCTGCATCCCCAGAGGCATCATCTTCCAAGCCATGGTGTCTGGGAAGCTGCCATTCAGGGACACCACCAACCCCACTGCATTCTGCATCTGATTTGTCGAGGCCCTACCTTCAGGCGAGGGCTGTCCCCAGGTGAGCACCACCACTCCATGCTCCAAGGTCCAGCTCAGACCCCGAGGGTGTCCACAGCAAAGAGGACATGGCATAGCCCTAACCCTATATGCTGGAAAAGTATGGTCCACTCACTGTATGTTGGAAAAGCTGAGCTGAGGGTAGGACTGACTGAAGGACAGCAATTCTACTGAATATTTAACATGGCACTTGTCCGGAATACCTCACCCCTCTTCTGTGCCCCTTTTGAGAGTAGGCAGGAGCCCCCAGACCTTTGCCAACATTTGGTAGTAGGCAGAAGCCTTCCAAGTTGCCAGCATTTCTGACACTGACTCACACTAGTGAGTGTGAGTCAGGTGTTACTGACAGGCTCCAGCAATGAGCCCTCCCTTGTAGAGTGCCAGGACCTGATTAGGGGACAGCTTCAGCTGCATCTATGTGCATGCCTGGACCTACAGCAGGTGGCTGCTCACTGCTGGATGCTGCCTGCAGAACACACGCTGTTCTCTATACTTGGTGCTGCCTCAGGTGGGACATGGTCCACAGGTGACTGGCTGGACTACAGGCAGTGCCTCTAGCACTCTACATGACCTGACCCTCTGCTTTGGTCCATTGCAGAAGAGGAATATTTCCAGTTGGCAATAGTCCCAGACAACACAGGACCTGACAGATATGGTATACCAGAAGCAAAGGCTATATAGCACCTCCACTGGCAGGACATCTCCAGGACAGTGTCTCTAAGTCAGCTGTGCAGCACCTAGAAGCCTGCACCAGAGGAACAGGTTCTACCAGCCTCGGGTCCTAAGTGCCACGGCTGGTGGCTGCTCTCTGTGGCCCATGTTTCCCAACAGGAACATGCCCGGGTACTATCTGGTCAATTGAGGGTGGGTAGGTGCGGGCAGATAAAAATATTTATTCTGTGGAGCTGAAGATGCAGTTATCTACACAGAGAGGGCTGGTGGCCTTCGGGTACCTCCTTTGGGGACTTGGGTCAGAGGGAAAACGCCAGTCTACACAGCACTTGTGGCAAGCGTGTCAAAGCTTTAACAAGAGGGCTGGAGTGCATCATGGGGAGTGGGGGGGGGCAAGAAGACTCATGACACCCAATGAAACAATTAGCCATGGTGGACAACACAGAACAAAGCAGTCTTCCAGCTTCAGAGGTATGGCGTGGCATAGTGTAAGCTCCCATGAAGACTATGGATGCTTAGGGACCTGGAAGGACCATTGCTGAGGAGAGAACAGCATACAAAAGCTTCACACGGCTGAAGACGTGTGGCTCAGAAAAGGGAACACAGCGGGGCAAGACTTGCCATGGTATCTACAGAATCGGGAGGAAGGGGTGCACACACACAGTAGGCTCCAAATGTTGGGGGTAGGACAGTACAGGAGTAAATGCTGCAGGAAGAGCCAGGAGAATCTCTGCAGAGGTAGGCAAGGTGTGTCTGGTAGGAGGGGCTGGGTGTCTTGAAAGGCAGCTGAGGCTCAAGGAAGCTGACTGAGAAGCAGTTTCTAGCTAAATGGCTAAGACCCATCCTGGGGACTAAAGATGCTAAACAAAAACTAGAGGCAAGGCCTGGTGTCACAGGTGAAGCTGAGAAACAGATATAGCAAAGGGGAAATGGTACCCAGCAAGTGAGCCAAAGACAGCCCTAGAAGGGCAGAGCATTCTAGGAAGACTGTAGGATCCAACTATGATCTGCCTTTCAAGGTCTTGGGCAAGGAAAACAAAAGGACTACCAAGGGGGTTGGGGATTTAGCTCATTGGTAGAGCGCTTGCCTAGCAAGCTCGAGGCCCTGGGTTCAGTCCTCAGCTCTGGAAAAAAAAAAAAAAGACAAAAGGACTACCAAGGTTGGGGCTCATAGCACTGTTTATACCTCTAAGCCTACCCATGTCCAGACCCTTCAGTGCCTTCAGGAGCGAAAAACTCTAGATGGCTTCCCAGGGCTTTCGGTGTTTTCAGTCCAGCCCCACCACTGTCTGGGAAGAGGCTCCTCATAGCTCCAGTGACCATCGGCAATGGTCACAGGATCTGGCAAGCTCAGGCTCAACAGTGCAGCTCTGAACAACGTGCATTCTTGCTGGTCACACCAGGGCACAGAATTGGGCAGTGCCCTTGAGCTTCTCAACGTTTACTGGGCATTTAGCCTAGAGCCCAGGGGGAACACTGGCAAAGGTTGATCTGGAGCTGGCATTCAGGCCAAAGGGGCTTTAGGTCTGTGAGGCACCTGGGCCCCTCAGCTCTTGCTGTTCTTGCTGGTCAAACTGTTGCAGCTGCCGCTCCACGTCTTCGGGTACCTGCACCTCCAGCAGGTTTTCCATGCCAACCTCTGGCTCATCACCAATAAGCACCTGCAAGCAGAGGAGACAGGTGAGCAGCTCCGTTTAGCTACTGGCATTTCCCTAGCCTCTCTGACCCTGCACTCACCTGGATAAGCTTCTCACAAGCTATTCGCACATCAGGCTCTGGCTCCCAGCTATACAGCTCTCGAAGGATCAAGTAAGCACCCTGGTCTCGTACCTGCTTCCTACCAGGAGCAGTGGCTGTCAGCTAGGGAGATGGGAAAGGTTACTCAGATGCCATTGTATCGTATGTATTATAGAGAGGCATTTAATACCACAGACCCCTGCTCACCAGCATGATGGCTTCAATGAGCATTTTGCGGATGTCAGCATCTGGTTCCCGTTGCTTGTCTGGTGACAAGTACTGCAGGTCAACAGGTAGCCCTAGGAGGGAGGGAGGGAGCTTCAGGGTCCCTGTGCTGGACAGCCCAGCCCTGCTCTGCCTGGGTGAGCCTCATACGTGTGTAATAAGGCCCTCTTTAAAGGCTTCTGAAGGGACTCCAGACCTGCACAATTCTCTCTCCCTTTACATCCTTCCTTCCAGCCTAGACAGCCCTGAGGCAACCACTGAAGTCACTCACTGTCCATTTCTTCCTCGGAAAACTCTTCAGGCCCAGCCAAGGGCAGTAGTAAGAAGGGGAGAATGTCGACTTGGGGCCCAAGCAACCACTTGTGGTGTCCTGGAGGTGGGAAAAAAGAAGGGGATTAGAAAACTGTTCTGTTGGGTCCCTAGGGTCCATTCCTCTCACCAAACCCCTAGTTGTCACTCACGATGCTCGAAACAGCAATTCCGAAGTGTTCCCACCGCCCCGCCCCTGCGCACCGAGGAGTCTGTGTACTGGGTAAGAGGCAGCAGCCGTTGGACCACGCACCTGTTGGAAGACGACGCTAACTGCTGTCCCTGTTCACTTCCAATCCCCCGCCTCCTTCCCGCCCACGCAGGCGCCTTGGGCTTCACCTGTCCGGGTCCAGGAGAAAAGCACGCACCTCCGCCTGTTGGCTAAGGTTGGAGAGCAGCGGCCCCAGGTAATGCAGGGGTGCGGCGGGGTTGTAGCTGGGCATGCAAAGCGCGTTGACAAGACGCTCTAAACCCAGCCGCTCCGGCTCAGCGGCCATCAGCTTCTCCACCAAGGCAGCACACGGCGCCGGCTCGCGACTCAGGTTGGCCAACACTGCAGCTGCCTCTTCAGCCCAGGGCCATTGAGGGTCCAACACGCAGCGCAGCAGGCGGCCAGGCAGCTCCGGGTCCGCCGCCAGCAGCTGCCGGTGCAGGCCGGGGTCAGCAGCCAGGTTCACGAGCGCGCGGGAGGCATCGCGGGAAGGAGCTGGGGCCGGGGCCACCGCAAGCTCAACCAGAGCCCGCAGCAATTCTGTCTGTCCTGCCAACAGGGTGCGGCCCGAGCCTGAACCAGTCAACGCCAGCACGTGCTGAGCCGCGGCCGCCTGCAGGTCTGCCCGCGCTCCGGGCACCAGGAAGGGCAGCAGCTCCGCCGCATCCGTGTCCGTGTCAGCCTCCTGCCCTGACAACTCTCGTTCACCCGAGAGTCCCAAACCTACTCCCGGGCCCCGCATACCGCCGCTCGCCCTACTAGGGCCACCGAAAAGCGGAAGTCATCGCGACTAGTCCGAGGCCGAGAACCCAGCTAAAGAGGGCGGAGCCGGCCTGAGCGCGAGGCATTGTGGGTCGTGATATTGGGCTTTCTCCTAGGTGCCGAGGCACCGGTAGGTGGTAAGTGTGCTGCTGTCGCCGCCGCTGCTGCCGCTGCCCCAATCTAAGACCTCGCAGGGGCTTTTGTGGCTGCTGCTTGTGGATTTGCTTGCCAGGCCAAACCGATTCACATCCGCTGCGCGGCATTAGAACTACTCGGCCACACAGAACCACATAGAATTGGAAGCGCAGCTTGGAAGCCAGGGCTCCTGCTGTCCAGAGGGCTGCTGCTGCTGATTAGCCCTGGGCAAACACCTCCGGGAACCGGATGGCGCAGTGACTCCGCGGTGAGAAGGCAGCTTTGGACCAGCCTCTGACTTTGCAGAGGGGCTAATTTTGGGACATTTTTCAGGACTTGGTCAATGACAGAAGCCTGGGTCAGACAGACTTGGAAAAATGGAAATGATTTTTTTGAATTTCACTTTATTTCCTTCACATCCCAAGAGTCTCCCCTTTTCCCTCTTTCCCCTTCTCCCCAGGAAATTGGTTGCTGAATCAATAGTTTGAAGGTTTTGGGGGGCCTGGAGAGAGATATTGCTGCACAGCTCTCCAGAACCCTGTTTGGTTTATCCCCTCCACAGCTCTCTGCTGTTCTGCTTCTCTGTGGTTCCACATTATCTTTACCTCCCCATGGGCACATTTGTTAGCCCATGTGAGGGGATGCAAGTCTTCTCAGCTACATAATCCTAGCAGAAGATAGTTTCAGAACTGGAGTCTACCAGGAAAGTATTCCATTCGTGGCTTCTTGTTGTCTCTGTTACCAATTAGCTGCCTGGGATCCTTGGTTTCCAAAAATAGAAATCTTGAGGCAGTGAGGAGTTGTTCCGGGCTGGTTCTTGGCAGCTTCGCTGTCCTCTGCTTCTGACAGCAGAGGAGATAGCCAGGAGATGCAACGGTTGCAAATCCTATGCAGCCTTAGACACTGACTGGGACCCTTAGGGCTACAGTGACAAGTGTTTAGCTCTTGTGTAGGCCTAAGTGTCCAGATTTCCCAGCTTCTAGCAGTGGCTAGTGATAGAGTTTTTGAGAAAAGTCTAAGACCTTTTGTTTTGGTTTTTTTGTTTTGAGACAGGGTTTCTCTGAGTTGCCTTCACTGTCCTGGACTCGCTTTGTAGACCAGGCTGGCCTCAAACTCACAGAGATCTGCCTGCTCGTGTGCTGAGAACATGCCCGACTAACCCTTGCCTCTTAAAACCACTGTTTCTACTACTGCTACCCTCCTCCCCATCTCTGCCACTTTGGCAGCTCTGTTGCTATGTCTCCTGTCGCCACTGCTATCATTTCTTTCTTTGCCATATCAGCCCATCCCAATCTAGAAAAACAGGTGAGAAAAGATGGACATGGTGGCACACACCTTTAATCCCAACAGTTAGGAGACAGACACAGGTGGAGTTCTGTGAGTTCAAGTCCAGCCTGGTCTACATTTAGACAACCTGAGCTGTCTGAAAAGAAAAAAAGGTAAGAAAAGACCACTGGCAAAGACTTTTATTTGCCCTAATGCTGGAATATTACAGTGGAATGGTAAAAAAACAAACAAACAAACACTCTCCTACTAGATATAATCCTAGCATTTAGGAAGCCGATAGGGCTCCAGAGATCCAAAGTCACCCTTGTCTATGTGTTTGAGACCAATCTGCTGTACACATGAGCCTCTCAAAAGCAAACAAAAGGTAAAAAGATATTTCCCAGCCCTTTTACAAAGTGAGCCAAATAGCCTGTCTATGGCTAGGAGTGGAGTGTTTGCACCAATCAGGATAGGTCATTATACAGGTGAAGGATGGGAGGAACCAAGCACTGTTGGTTTTATACCAGTCACAGTCTTCTTTGCTAGACTATAAGGGGAAGTGCTCCTCTGAACTGGTACAAGTGGATGCTGGGAAAGCCCTACCTAACATTGTCATTGCTGAGGCCACACCTCTTGTAATAAAGTTGGATTTTAGCCCTGTGCATCTGTGGAAGGTTTCACAACTGCCTTACATGCAGTCCTTTGCTCAAGGATATTAAGGCACCAGGGAGGGAGTCTAATGACGTCAATCAGGGAATCAAATAGCCTTATCCTCCAAAGAAAGAGTGTTTTCTAGAAGTTTTTATCTAACAGGGGCCCAGTGGCTAAAGTGCTTGCCCTGAAAGCATAAGGAGGAATTTAGATCCCCAGGAATATGTGTAATTATTAGATGCTAATAAAAACATGGATAGGCCAGGTGAGAACAGCCAGGGCTGTTACACAGAGAAGCCCTATCTCAAACAAACAAATAAACAAAAGATGGATAAATAAATCAGCTTAGGCACAGGATTTCATGTCTAATCTCACAACTCAAGAGGCCGAGGCAGGAAGATCATGGTAAGTTTGAGACCAGCCTGGGCTATAGAATGAGATGGTCTCAGATTTTTTCTTCTTTTTTATAATGGTTAGCTCTGATTGTTCACTTGACACAAGATAGAGTCACCTAGGAAGGGAATCTCAGCAAGGGACTGTCTAGATTAAGTTGGCCTATGGACATGTCTGGGGGTGAGGGTGGTTATCTTAATTACTGGAAAGAACTTGCCCACTGTGGGTAGCACCATTTCCAGGAAGAGGATCCTGGATTTTATAAGAGTAGAGAAAGCAAATTTACACTGGCTTGCATGAATCATTGCTGCCTGCTCCTGACTGACCAGCTGTCCCAGACTTCTGCTGCCTTGCCTGCCCCACAATGATGGATTGCAGCCTAGAATTGTGAGCCAAATAAATTCTTTAGTTGCTTTTGGTTATTTCATTTAGCCCCAGCTATCCTAGAACTCAATTTGTAGACCAGGCTGGCCTCAGACTCAGAGATCTATCTGATTCTACCTCTAAAAGTACTGAGATTAAGAATATGTGTTACCACACACCCAGCTTTTGTTTTGGGTATGTTGTTGTTTTTCAAGCTATTTTCTCTATATAGCGCTGGCTATATAGAGAACTCACTCTATATAGCCACTCACTCTATAGACCAGGCTGGCCTCAAACTCAAGAGCTCTACCTTCCTCTGCCTCTGCTTCCCAAGTGCTGGGACTAAAGGCTTGTGCTGCCACTGCCTGGCTTGTTGGGGTATTTTGATCTCAGCAATAGGAAACTGAGAAATTTCGCCCATGCTATGGCTGTTTGCTCAGGTAATTCATGATATAAGTGATATTATTTGCATGAATAAAGTGAGCTGAACTGGGTGACCACATAACAGTTCTAACCTACAAGAGAACAATAACTTCCCAGTCCACCAAGGTACCCATCAGGATCAAGGCAGAAATGTAGTTAGTGACCACCCTTTTGAAGGACAGAATTTAACTGTCCTTCGGATGTCTTAAGGTCTCTTACTGTGATAAGACACTATAACCAAAACCAACTTGGGGAGGAACTACCTTATGCAATCCAAGACCATCTACCCAGGGATGGCAGCCCCTACAGTAGGCTGGCCCTTTCACATCTATCATTAGTCAAGAACAATGCCCCATAGGTTTGTCCACAGGTCAATCTGGTGGGAGCATTTTTATTTTTTTCAGTTGAGGTTCCCTCTTCTCAAATGACTCTAGCTTGTGTCAAGTTGACAAAAGAAACAAAAAACTAACCAGGACAGCATGTGAACCATAAAATAGCACCCTGCAAAGGAAAATAAACAAGACAACCACAACAAAACCAAAGGAGAAATAGCTCTCACCCATGGGCCTGGAGAAAAGAAGGGAAGAGGGTATCAAAATGGGCATCAGCCCTACCTGGCTCTCTCTCCTCAAATGTCATCTGATTCAATCATTAGTGTACCTGCTACAGATAGCCTACTGCTGACACCCACTCGGTACATACATAAAGGAAAACACTAATACAATGAAAAACTAAAAATAGGACCAGGTATGGAGGCGCACACCTTTAGTCCCAGCTCTCAGGAGGCAGGTGCAGGTGGGTTTCTATGAGGCCAGCCTGGTCTAGACAGTGAGTTCCAGCATGGCCAGAAGCTACATGTAGAGAGACAGTTTATAAAACCAAAAAATAATTAAAATAAGATGTAGAACAAGGAACGTAACATCAATTTTGGCCTCCACAAGCACGCAAACACGTGTACTTGAATACAAGTGAACATGTATATATGCTATAAGAAAAAAAAAATATATATATATATTTGTGTTTATATATATTTTTTAATTTAGGCAAGGCGTGCTATTGTGATTTGCCAAGGTGGTAGGACTGGGACTTGGCCATGGAACCTTGGCTCTTTGTCCCCCAGGTCAGTTGTGCTTGCCAGGGGTTGTCTTTCGGACAAAAAAATACCGTTGTAGGGAAGGCTGAAGGAGCAACGGGGGCAGAGCTCGTGGGGGTGAAGGCCAGCCTGGGGGAAAGGGCTGCAGCTCCACTCGTGGCAGTGGCAGCTTCAGCATCCGGATGGAAATACCATCAGCCAAGCCCTGGTGGGACAGCCTGTGACCTGGATGCAGGGAGCCAGGCAAATGAAACAAAGCTGAGGTTGTGTCAGGGGAGGTTGTGGTGGGGTGGACGGGCGTTAGGGTTCACTCACCCTCATGGGTGAGATAACTCACGAATCTCCTGGCCTCCTGCAGACGGAGGATGGGATAGAGCCTGAAGAAGGGAGAGGATTAGGTCAGACCTTTTTCTGCAACCCGTGCAGGGTCAGCTCAGCATGCACACTGTTATGCGCACCAGCGATACCGAGGCGGCCGCACCACAATGTTGGGTCTTAGCTCATCTAGGGGTAACTGCTGCTGCTCCTCTTCCTCCTCCAGCAAGCTCTTCTGCTGTGCGTGCTGCTTCTCACAGTAGAAATTAAGCACATCAATATGAAACAGGTCCATCATCTGACAGCGTGACCATTCTGTCTCCTCCAGTGGCAGAGGCCCTCTTCTCACTATAGAAGGAAGGGACAGCTCCAAGTAGCTCTGAGGTACAGAAGAGGGGCCCTGAGACCCAGAAGAGAAGGCCTGCAGTGTATCAGAGAGTGCTCTTCTGCTTGGCCAGCGGTGCACTTGTGTCTGGAGTTCTATGATGGATTCCCTAGGTGAAGCCAGCAGCTCTTGAACACGAACTGCTGATTCTGATGTCTGTGAGGGTGTCAAAGAGATGTTCAGGGCAGGCAGGGGTGCCCCAGAAGTGAGGGAGGCTTGTGAAGAGATCTCCTGGGGGGGAGGGGCTCCACAGAAATACTGGTTGCAGACTGCTCCAAGGTATTCATCTATAGGAGAGTGATCCATGGACCCTTGTACCTGAACCTCTGAAACTTCCTTCTGCTAGGGTCCCAGCCCTAGAGAGAGGGTACCTCATCTAGACCCTGACCCTGACCCTGACCCAGGTATATCTTTCTGCTGTGTAGGGAGCTCTCAAGTAATGTTCTGGGAAAACCCAGGGGCACTCCTGTAGGCACCACCCATGGTCTTTTGGGGGAACCTCTGAAGAAGGCAACAGGTTCCCAGTAGGTGAGCCACCCAGCCCTTGGCCCACCAGAACAATTTCTTCAAGTTTCTCTTGACACAGTGCGCGAATCATGGACTTGGATTTAAGGGCGCCACCCTCAGACCAGGTCAGCATCTCCTTGAACAGAATGTCATGTGGGTCACGGAGGCCCAGACTAATCAGCAGACTCTTGAGCTCTGGCCTGGGATGGGTAGATGAGGTTTAGCCCAATATCCCCCCAAGCTGGTAGGGAAAGCCCAGGAGGAATTCAACTCACTGACAGCTGGCTGGAGAACAAAGGAAGTAGGACATGATTTCCAGCAGGACATCAAAGACCTCCAAGCTGCAGGCCAGGAGCAACTGAAACGCCAGCATCACAAACTCCTTCTGAGTCATGTCCTAGGCTCGGGAGTAGGGTGGAGAGTTAGGACTGTGGTTAATTCTGGAAGTAGGTGAGGATACGGGGTGCTCTGGGGGAACTCACCAGGAGGCTGGGGGGAAAATCTTGGTTGAGCAAGTATAAGAGTTTGCCCTGTATCCGCATGCGAAGTTCAGCACTGACATTAGGCAACAGCCTTAGCAGGGCATTTAGAATATTCACTCGGTCTGCCCAGTTAGCTTTTATCAGGAATTCCAAAAACGCAGAGACCAGGCCCTCTATGGTGCCCATCTCTGGATAGGCCTGTGGGAAGATTTGCTGAAGCCCTGCCCATCCCCAACTCTACTCAGCATGCAAACTAACCCCTACCTTCTCCCAACTCCCCCATCCCAAACCCACAGCTGGGCTTCCCAGTTTCCCACTTTCTAACCTTCAGGGAAAAGATAGGGAACAGCTTTTTGAACCAATTCTGAACAACAAAATAATGCAGGAACTTGGGCAAATGCCCATAGGGATCTTCCCAGAGTGAGTACCCAGGGATGATCTTGGTTCTGGAGGCATCGTGACTAGGTTTCCAGTCCAAGGTGGTTTCACTCTAGGGGAAATGACTGAAGCTGCAGACCCATCTCTCAGCACCAACCTCACCCTTCCCACAAGGGTCTCAAGTGTCTACTTTTGCGTCCCAGGGTTCTGGCTGCTCAGAAATGATGGAGGTCCATTCCAGCTCCAATTCCTCAAAGTCCTCATACTCAAAGTCCTCTTCCTCCTCACGGTACTCTCTTCCTTTCCTGCGTCTATAGTGAAGCCAGTGGCGGAACTGTTTGTTTCTCCACCTCAGAGGACACTTTACGGGCCTGTGCCACCAGCCATCCCGGCTTCCAGGTAGCTGCAGAGGGACGAGAGGGGATATGTGGCGAGCTGTGGAGATGGCGGAGCCCTTCCTGAGAACACCAGGCTCCCACTTCTTTACCTTCATTTTACTCAGGGTGGCCAGCTCTTGTAGAGATCCGAGACGTTTGACGTCTTCATGCAACCATAACTGCCGCAGTATCACAGAGTTGGGCACACAGCCAGGAAATCTGATGACCCGAGAGTGTTGCTAGATGTAGAGGGCAACAGATTGGGATGAGAGCCTGAAGTCGCCTAACTGGGACAGGATCATGGAGCAACCTCCATAACCATGAGCCTTGAAATAACCAAACTGGACTGGTAGCCTCTGTTCTCAACATGCAAACGGGCAGTTTAGCTTGAGAAACCAGGTAGAAGGGTGATCTGAGGGGTTGAGGGGGAGAACTGTAACTGAAGAAAAGAATCCTGAAATAGCTGCTTCCTGGTGAGCACTGACTGCTGATATGCTCTCCATGGAACTTAACCTGAAACCTAAAACAGGGATGAGGGGCCAAGGAAGGAACTTGGACAGAGGTCAATGTGTTGAGTAGAACAGGTCTCCTCAAGCTGGAAGGGCTAATAATACACCCAAACAGGACCCTGGTGTGTGCTAAGTAAGGGGTGAGGGCCTGCCTGGGTGCTCGGTATGACCAAGTATGAAAAGATGGTGGATCTTAAGGGCCTGGCCCCACTGGACTTCCTTCCCTGAAGCATAAGGATTCCTCCAGAGAACATAGCATTCATGCTGGAGAAAACGGTATGCAGACAAACACTGGTGATAGACCTCTGGCTCAGGCCTAGTCCTAGAAAGCAGCAAGGAGTCCATGTCCACAGCCACACCAGCAACTGGCTAGGCTGGAGAGGTACAGAGTTCTTAAGCCTTGATCCTACAGGTTTCAGGTAGATATGGCCCTTAGCTCAAACTGGAACACAGAGGCTTACAGTAAAGGGAGATGGGATATGCAAAAGAGTGACCTCTAGAAGAAGCCACCTCTGGGAGGGTGGAGAGGCGGGGGTGGGGGTGTCTCACCATGAAGGGCTGTATGGTGGCAGGAAAGAAGCCCCCGAGTTTTGAGAGAAGTTCCCTGGGCCTTCTTTGCAGCAACAATGGAACCTGGGGAGAGATAGGAAGTAAGAATAGAGCACAACCACCAATGTCCCTGAGACTGCCCTTGAATAAGAGCCCTTACCCTAGGCCGCTGGTAATAGGCCGTTAAGTCCAGGTCCACCATCTGTCCTTCATACTGATCCCACTGTGCCCGCAGATCTAAACTGAGGCCCAGCTCATAGCACAGGGAGGAATGTGCTAGAAGCTAGGGTATACAAGAAGTTCTGTGGGGCTTTGGCCTGGACCACACTGTCAGGCATGGATGGATTTGGGAAGGAAAGAAGGCCTCACCTGGGATGCCCTGCTATGCACCTTTCGGTAGGTAGGTGGAATAGGCAAGGAGACTTGGGGAGGGCGGGCGAAGCGCTTGCCTGGGGCTCCTGGGGCTGGGGGTTGGTACCACGCCGGAGCATCACTGGTGGGAATGTCCTCGTAGTCTGGGTTCCACTGGAGGGACAGCCATTCACTTTTTATGTCCTGGAACAGGAAAAAAACAGGAAGCATGTGTCAGACAGGGTGAAAGTCATGGTATGGCTTGGGACTGATTTCATACCTACCAGCATGTCAGACCCATAGATCCGCTGTAAGTAACTGTCAAAGGCTTCCTGTTGCTGCTTCCAGGAGAGTAGGGGGGGCAGAGTTGCTGGGACCACCAACCCTTCCCTTAGTTCTTGAAGATCTTGATCCCGGGCTATGATAGTCTCCAAGTCCTAAGGTGGAGATCAGTGGCAACCTATGCTTCCTCGAAGACTTGCCGTGTTCTTCCCAAGCAGGCCAGAGGCGGTGGCCTGAGACTGGGCATGGGACAAACATGGGCATTGGGCAGGCAAAGGGTCAGGACCTACACTACCTCCTTCGACACTGGCTGATGTGTTGCTGTCTGCTCATGGCTGAAGGGCACGTCTACACTGTAGAGAGGAACAGGCATAGGTGAGACTCAGCATCACTGGTGGGAGGGGTCGGAAGCTGGAGAAAAAATTCTGGGGTTGAGATATGGCAGTCCTGGAGGGACTTGGGGGGGGGGGGTTGAGAACTCATACGGGGGTCTACGGCTACGCAAACCCTGCCCCAGGGCTGGGTGGATCCCTCCAAGCAGCTGAGTGGTCCTGCCAGGAGACCTGAGACTGGCTGCTCCGTGCAGGCTGGCAAGCCTCTGCAGCTGGGTGGACGTCAGCGGCGTCTGGTTGCTCAGTGACAGCGGAGGGTCGTTCATTATCTCGGGGGTCTTCTCGCACAATTGCTGTAGAAGGGGGTAGAGCTTTTTTTTTTTTTACCCCGGTGCTATCCTTGTACGGCAGCCAGTCCCACCTTGCCTACCTTGACTTCACTGTATACCTTAAGCAGATAGGATGTGGGTAGGTAGAGTGTATGGCGCACCAGGCAAAGGCGGGAACCTAGTGTGAGTACCAGGTCTCCCCTGTTGCTGGAGAAGGTCAGGGTCTGAGGGGGACCGTCCAGCTGCAGGAGCCTGAAACAGTGCCTAGAGGTTAGATGCTATTTCAGAGTGGAAACCCGAGGCAGTGATGGGGCGTCACCCTATCCCCCTCTGTCCAGTCCCTGGTCTTTCAAGGGAAGCCAAGATTAGAGGAGCCCCATGGCTGCCCTCTAGCGGCTAGTTAGCTGCCCCCACACGACAGGGCCCCAGCCCACCGCAGCAGGCGGTTATTCCAGGTCCATATTCGGATGGTGCAATCTAGGCTGGAGCAGGCATAAATCTTGAGGGTGGGGCAGCAGCATAGGCCTAAGGGGCAGAGCTGAGGTTAGGAAGCAGTTGAGAATAAGGAATACCAGTTTCGCCTTTGCTCCATTCCACTCACCCGTAATGTGGTCCATAGGGTCATCCTGTGGTCGGTGGTCACAGCGTACTCTGTCACCCAGGCCAAATTGCACCAGGCCATAGGTGGCAGTTTCTGGATGCTCAAAGCCTACAGTGATGCGCTTCCCCAGGACACAGAGCATTACCACGGGGTGGCAACAAGAGAAGGTGCGGACCAGGCTTAGGCTTTCCTCGGCGTATGGGAACACACGCCACATCTTTACTGTCAGATCTCCACCTTTGGGTAGCAGGAGCCAGGGCTGGAACTTCAGGAAGGTGCAGGGATTCCCCGGCTGTCTTTGACAGAGAGAGGTACTGACCTGAGGTCACAACGGTGTTCCAGGTGGACCCGATAGCAGTCACTGGTCCTAGGCTGTGCGCTTCTGTGTGAAAGACCGTCTCGGATGAGCGCCAGTCCTTCACAGACAGTGAGCCGTCTGAGTGCCCGATTATCGGTAGGAACCTGTGAGAAGTGTGGGAGACCGTTAGCCAAGGCGCTGTCACCAACTCGGCCGCATTTGGCCTTAACTGGCCTCCGATGGCTGTAGTGCCCACCTGTTCTTGTTTTTCCAGGCCCAGGCAATGGCACTGCGGCGCATGTCGCCGCGAAACTGGCGTACGAGCTCCCAGCAAGCAAACGCACTATGAGGGTCTGTGAGATGGCTGTAGAGGTGCAGGCAGCAGGGCTGCGGGGCTGGGGGTGGAGGCGGGGGCAGGCGGTGAAGCACGACCATAGGGCAGCGTGCTGCATTGGCGCGCACCAGCTCCCCCGAGCGCGTCAACACCCACAGAGCTTCTCGAGTCAAACAATAAACCACCCCAATGGCAGCGTCCTCCGGCTCCAGCAGCAGTGAACTTACGGTTCGTCCCGTAGTTGCTGACACCAGGTAGACCGACCCATCTGCACAGGCGCACACAAGGCGAGAGGGCAGAGCCGGCTCGATTGGTGTCGGCAGCACTGGCGCTATCTGAACGTGGAGCACTGGTGCGGACAGCTGTGCTAACGGTGAATAGAGGTCACGCATATGCCACAGATCCACACTTTTTGAACAGAGACAGAGCACTGGCCAGCCAGGACGTGCAGGAGCCAGCAACTTGCTCACTTTCTCAGAGAGAGCATCTTGGTTCCCCAAATCCAGTGTTACCTCTCCCACCTGAGCTGCGGCCCGCAGGTCCCATGTGCGTAGTGTCCCGTCCTGTGAGGCAGACACTGCCAGCGCGCTGTTTGGGAGCACTACCATAGCGGTCACTGGGCCTGCAGGAAAGAGGCAGGTCGTTTTGGCACATCATAGTTTAAGGGGGAGTTCCTGGGGTGTAGCCAGTGTTAGAGAGGGGCAAGCTTAGGACGAGAGCAAGAAAGGCTGCAGGAGCTGCCAGACTGTGGCACACCTGTGTGGCCCACGAACACCATCCGGATCTGCCAGTCGGCCTCCCACACCTTCAAGGTACTGTCCCGGGAAGCCGTCATCAGGGCCTCCACCTCCTCACAGTACTCCATGTCTGAGATGACGCTAGAGGTGAGGGAATGGGAGGCCCAGCGGACTCAGCAGAGCTCTGTCTGTGGGTCCTATAGCCCTTGCAGTGCTTGGCTCCCCTTAGGGGATCTGCCTCCCCACCAGCTGTCCCCTGACTATCCTCACGTTTTGTGTAGATCATGGCACACATTTATGAGAGTCCAAGAGTCCAGATCAAAAGTGAGCACCGCCGAGCCATAGGCGGCAAAGCAATACTGGTTGCAGGGGTCAGTTTCTGACCCTAGGGCCAGACAACTGAATGAGCCAGACAAGCCTGGTGGTGGGTGCAAAGGTGAACCACAGGACACCAGGCGGCGACCACCTGAACGGAACTTCCAGAGCTCCAGGCTGCCACCCACCTGGGCCACAAGCAAAAGTCCTAGACTGGGCACTGGTAAACAGTGAAAAGGCTCCTGGCCCAGTGTCTTGCTCACTGGTGGCTGGCTCAGCCAGAGCAGGTTGAAGTCTTCCCCTAATATTGTCAGTCCAGCTGGACCCCAGCCTACAAAGCGGCCCACTTTTCCCAGAGGGCCAGGCACAGTCACTAGCCCATGAAGCACGGCAGGAGCCTTCAGCTTTGCCAGCACCCAGCCATCCTTGGTGTGCTGATGTAGGCAACCTGCAGCATCTAGTACCACAAAGCGGTCACGCGCTGGGTCTTGTGCTACCGAGCACAGCCCAGCTGCCACCTTCAGGCGACGCAGTGGCTCCAGCCCATGTACCATGCGAGCGACCCGCAGCTCTGCTTTCTTCTCCTGCAGGCCAGAATAGACAGATGCACTTGTCAGCAACAGAGGCATGAGCTCTTCTGCCTAGGGAAGCTCAAAAGGACTGGAGCTGTCAGTGCCAGGATCTCTAGGGAAGAGCCCAACTAGAAAGCTCAAAGAGAACCACACCTTTTCCACAATGTAATGGAGGTATGTGCGTAGGTGTAGCCACAGTAGTCGGGCACGGGTACGCAGGTTTATGTTCTGCCACCTCTCGGAATTGGTAAAGAGCTGCGGGGCCTGTGGTTCCTCCAACAGACCCAACTCTGTAAGCCAGTGGAGGATGCAGTGTCACCTTGGCTCTGTGCCCCAGTCCTGGAGGTGATAAGCAACAAGGAGCCCTCCTCTGAGGGACATGCTGGGTCAGGAACTACCCAGGGAAGTCACACCTCCAGGACTGAAAAGCCGGAGAGACCTCTGCTTCCTAGCAGGGTGCCTGGACGATGCCAGGTGCCCTTACCATGTTTTTCTGAGAGCACCCCAGGATCTGGGATTTCATAGTTGTCCTGATCATAGAAGTCCGAGTCCGCGATTATGCTGTCGCCCTCAAATGTAAAGGGGTTGCTTGTGTTTAACATTGTGTCTTCCCTAACATCGACCGTCTCAGAGGTGAGATGTGTAACAGCTCTTGAGACTAAGTAACGGATAGGCGGTAGCTGTTGCTAAGATACCAGGTGCTCCAGGCCCCGCCCCATGACGCAGGCTCCACCCCCATAAAACCCCCAAGTTCCGTCTAAGTCACAGAAACTTTTATTGGAAACGAATGAGCTGCAGCAAAGTGACACTCAGTGCATGTGGCCCACCTGGTGAGGTGGGGGGGAGGGAGAGAGTGGGCACCAGGGTCTAGTGCAAGACCAGACCTCATCAACACTGGGCACCGTTTACAGGGTTTCAAGTCCCTGGCCCTTAGAGTTGGAGTGTACAGGCCCAAGAAGAAATACAAAAATAAACTCTGTGGTCCAGCTGTCCTGTCTGTAGCAGACTGTTGGTGCGGAGCAGTCATTTTTTCTGTCAGGCCCTGTGCTGTTTAATACAGCCATAGCATGGGCAGTAGGAGCCTGTAGGGGTGAGTGGATATCCACAGGCTGAAACCAAAGGGCTAGGCAGGTATAGCCTTGGGCAGTGCCAGGATGGTGGCGGTGCCAGGGTATAGCCAGCGTCTGGGGAGGCTCTGGAACTCCTCAGGTAGGCAGGTCCAGGCATTGGTCGAAGTTGATGAAGCTGAGACCTCCGCTTTTCCTCATCACATACAGATCACTGGAACCCTAGGCAGAAGTTGGCACACAGTAGGCCTTCAGGAGATACCACCCAGACCAGGCAGAGGGGATCCTGACCTGTCCCACCCACTTCAGGCTCCAGTGGATGGGGCCATGGCCACCCGACGCCATCACACCTGTCTTCCTCCATGGTGCTGGTCTCCTCTGCCCTTCGCTCACTGCTTCCACCTCCACTCTCTTCATCAACCTCTTCTGCCCCCAGCTCCAAGTCCAGTGCATTGCCTGCCTCTGAGGGTGTGTAGGTGGAACCACTGGGTGGAGATAGAAATACCAGTTTTAGGACCACCTATCCCTGCCTTCCCAGGGAGCGTAGACCCAGTTAAGGAATGGCAGAAGTAGAACTGAGAGCTGGAAAAAGGGAGATGGCATGGTACCAACCTGATAGAGCGACAGCTAAAGAAGACAATTCGTTTAAGACGCTTGTTGTAAAAGAAATAATTGAATGACCAGAGGCTTCCATCTTCCCCAAAGGGGTCTGAGTCTAGATCTGGGTTATAGCTGAGGAGATTAAAAAAAAAAAAAAAAAAGTATGAGGATCCCACTGCCAGATATACCTGCCATGTCCACCTGCAAAGATGTGAACCCACCTGTAGATGTCACATTCAGCTAAGCAGATTTCCTCATCCACTGCATTCCACAGCTGCGGCTTCAGGGCCTTGAAGTCTTCCCGAACAGCTGAGAACAGGCTGCAGTTGACTGCATTTACCACCTACAGGAGGTTACAGTCAGGGATGACAAGGGTCCAGGGCAATAAACACAACTCAAGAACCTACTCAAAGTGGGGAAGGCAATGGTAATGACTAAACAAACGGTTTTGGGTCCAACTACTCATCCTTACCCAGCTGAGGCTTGGCTCCCGGCTGAATTCATGACTTCTAGCTGTGCTGAAGTCATAGTCTGGCCTGAAGGACTCATTGAGTGTGGCGATCAGGTAGAAGAGGGTCTTACGGCTGCACTTGTCACTTAGAGGGCTTTCGTCCTCACCACCTTGGCTCCTGCTTAGTCTAGACAGAGATAAATGTCAGCCTTGCCTACCATCCCACATACCCCAAAAGGTAGTCTCCACTTCAGCTCACCTGCTGGGACTGAGGCCTGAAGTCTGGGGTGGGGACAGTGCCTCCAACACATGGGGCTGGCCCTCCTGGCAGAACTGCTTGAACATGTGTTTGTTGTCGCCTGCCATCTTACACGAGTAGCTTTCAATCCTAAAGAATGCAGGCAGGGTCATGATGCATGCTAACCCAGAGGATTTAACTCCGGCCAAGATAGGGACCTCTGGGAGACTGATCCCCAGGGCCTCCAGCCTCACCTTCCAATAATATGGGCATCTCCAGTCTCCACTGTCAACTGAGAGTTGATGGCCTCAAAGCTGGAGTTCTCCAATAGCTTCATGTCCTTTGGGAGGGGGCTTCTTGTGCCAGAGAGTGTAGCGCTACCTGAGAATGTGGGAAGCCAGGTGTGGATACCTAGCTCCAAAGGGCTCCGCCTTCAGCCTTCCCACCCACCAGCAGAGTACTGTTTGCAGCTGGATCTAGCCTGAATCCTCACGTACCTCCTAGCTCTCCCTTCCCTGCCCCTAAGCATTGGCAGGGAGATGATCCTGTTACCTGAGGATGGCAAGTCCAGGTTCCTGCTCAACTCCAAGTCCTCCTACACAGTAGAAGAATCCTGGGGCTGGCGGGGGGGGGGGGGGCATCTTATATTCTCACTAGGGGTCTGCTGGAGAGTCCCTCTCTCGGTGTTTTCTACCCACATGAGCACTCTGCAGACACCTTCAAACTGTACTAAGGTCCTCAATCAGGGTAAGAACCTGCAATCCGATTCGGAACCGGGCACCTGGGGCTTGAGCCCTGAGGGCCATCTGTATGGGCCCTCTTCCCCAGTTCTATGGGTTCCTTCACTGCTTCCTGACAAGATGAAAAAACCCATGAATTCTTCACTTATATTTGCAAGTATGCCTAATTCTCTCTTCGAAAGCCAAAGTACATAGGACAGCCTCACTGCCTCCGCTAGCTCAGGCCAGGAGTTTCTTGGCATTTCTGCTCTGCGAGCCGAGAGGCAGCAGCGGATTCGTAGAGGAAACTACAAGCCCCAGGAGGCAGTGCACCAAGAGAGAAGCTTTAAGCCAGGCAGCGGTAGAACTACAAGTCCCATGAAGCAGTGCAGCAGCGCGAGGCCTGCCGGGGACTGTGGTTCCCGCAACCCGCGACCGCTTGGGGAACAAGGCGGACACCCACCTGCCAGGAATGGGCTAGATCAAGCCAGCCTAGCCGGGTTGCTTAGAGTCGGTGCCGAGGTGACGGCGGCGCGGGCTGAGCGCAGCGCGGGCTCTTTAGGACTGGAGGGCGGCGGCGCGGCCTCCACTCGGGCCGCACTGTATCCGGGGGAAGCTTCGCGGCGACGTCCCGTTACTCCAGGCCCTGCCGGCCCATACGGGCTGCAGCCGCGACATAGCCTCGCTTCCCTGCAGCGCCCGCTTTCGCGACCGACCTGCCGCGGACCACCAAAATCGCACCAGCCAGCGAACGGAACAGCGACCTCCGCCTCCCCCGGCCCGACAACAACAAGCGTCCGACAGGCCCGGCCCCACTCCTCTGAATGGTCCGCTCCAACCACAGGATCCAGACCGCGACAAACCATTGGGGGAGTTCTCCGCCACTCAGTCACCTCTTCCACTTCTACTGGCTGTGTAGCTTGTCTGTCTCACCCTTGCTTACGAACCCGCCTCTTCTCTCAGTGTTCATTGGTTAGGGCCATTCCCGCCCCGCCCCCCGGAGCCGACCCTTGTCCCAGAGTAGTGCAGACTCTCGAAGTGTGTCTGGTGTGTGTTTGTGTGTATTGGCGCCCAGCTCCTGCCGAGAACTGATGTTGTCGTCTATCGGGCAGCAGCTATCGCTCGTTCGAACCTTTGAGAAAGGTCCATCCTTGCCTTCTTTTTGTTACCTGTGTTCGATCCCTGACACTGTCCTCGGGCCCAGCTCAAAGGTGACTAGCATAGCTGGACTGTGCCTGGAGATCCTTGGACCATCTCTATCCCTGAGCACACGGGCGATCAGGCTCAGGTAGTGAGCCTTCTTGTTCTCCGCACTCTGGCGCGTCCGGAACCTAGGTCCACAGGCCGAGTTTCTGCCCGGCGGAAGCGCTTGACAACTCTGCAGCACGGAAGCGTTCTCGGAGGGTCAGGACTTCGCCGGACTAGAAATGTCGCCACCCGCCGGCGGTGCGGCAGGGGCTGCAGACCCTGCCTCACCTGCGGTGCTTCTGGCAGTGCACGCGGCGGTGAGACCACTGGATGCCGGGCAGGACGCCGAGGCGCAACTGCGAAGGCTGCAGTTGAGCGCCGACCCTGAGCGGCCTGGGCGCTTCCGGATGGGGCTGTTGGGCACCGGGCCAGGGGCGGTGAGTGTGGGCCGGGATACTGGAGTCAACCCTCTCTTATTACCCCTAGGCCAGTAGCGTTTATTTTTCTTTGGTTGTCTGTAAAAATGGGGATAATGCTGATACCTGCTTTACAAGTCTTGTGAGAAATTGGCAAGATATCAGGCAAGAAAAGTTTAGGACCGTAAAAATTACCTGCTTCCTTTTTTTTCAAATCTCTGTGTTGGTAAAGATGAGGAACCACTGACCCAGCACTCTTCCCTCTCTTAAGGTCAGTTTAGAATGGCCCTTGGAGTCTGTTTGCTACACCGTCCGTGGTCCTAACCAACACGAGCTGCAACCTCCACCGGGAGGTCCTGGAACCTTCAGTGTGCACTTCCTCAACTCTCAGGAAGCACAGCAGTGGGCAGCACTGGTGCGAGATGCCACCGCAGAGGGACAAAATGGTCAGTGTTGTGGAGTAAATGCTCATTTGAAGACGTCCAGGCCTCCTAGTCGTGGGTGGGGATAGTGATGGGGAAAGCTGTGCATCTAGGATGGCTTCCAAGAGGAAGAAGGTGGAGAAAATAAGAGATTCAAGATCTGACACCCAAATACCAGACTAGTGTGAAAAAGAAGAGCAATTGTTGCTGCAGGACTGAATTCAATAGAACAATAGGATTGTATTCAGTGGGAAAATTAACAGGCTCAGGTCTGTGCTAAAGACTCTCCACTCATGGAGTGGTGTAGAATAGGCCAGAAAGAAGGCCAGAGGATCTCAGGAGATGGAATTAGATAGGTTTCATGGTTGTTTTAATGGAAGAAGACTGAACTAGAGGGACCACTTAATGTGAGGCTTGTACATGGTGCCTATTTGGAAAAGCATGGATATGACTGGGGCTTTGGAGAGATAAAGATTAGGAATTGGAGAGGTCAGCCAAAGTCACCAGGAGAGGAAGCATAGAGAAAAGATGGCCTTGGATGTGGAACAACCTTCCTGATGCTTCAACCCTTTAATGCAGTTCTTCATATTGTAGTGAGCCCCAACCAAAAAATTATTTATATTGCTACTTTCATAACTGTAAGTTTGCTACTGCTATGAATTGTAATGTAAATATCTGTTTTCCAGTGGACTTAGGCGACCCCTGTGAAAGGGTCGATTCCCAAAGGGGTTGAGATTCAGATTGAGAACTGCTGATGTAGGCAGTGCCTGGGAAGAGGTAGGAAGGCCTACATATAGTAACTGAGAAAGATCTGTTAAAGGGGCACAGATAGACACTGTGATTGTGTAAGAGAGACTGGGGGAACTCAGCATTAAAAAAAGGACTTTTAAGTCATTCATTTTCCAGTTATGTATACCCAGTTCTTTCTTTATACTGTTCATTGTGACAAGGTCTTAGTGTAAAATTGTTAATGATCCTCTTACCTGTGCATCCAAAGTGTTGGTGTTATAGATGTGTTCCATTTAACTGTGCACTGAGAGGGGGCGATAACTGTAAGTCTGCTGTGGGCAGGAAATTGCAGATCCTCATCTAAGTGGTTGGTTTGATTCTTCTAAACAGAGGAGAG